TATGTGCTGTTTTGCAGTCGGACAGAAACCATGGATACACATTCACACCACTCAGCCTCAATAAAAGCTACAGTCCAGAAGTGGGATGGTTTTAGCTGGAGAGGCGCCACAGTTGATGCCTCAGTCATAGAAGCACATGGGTGAAGTCAGAGCCTGACAAATCCAGGGTATTAGCAGGCCTTTGTCCAACCCGCAGCTGTCACTTACCAGGCTTCTGGGAGAGGATGGGGGGAACAGAAGGGAATTCTTGACCTATTCCTTTAACCACAGAGGAGGATTGAAGCATTTAGCAATAAAATTATACGGAAAGAAACCCAAAGAAATAGGGGCTTGAAAATGAGCTGAAAGAATATTTCATCAAGATGAGAAAGAAAGACTAAAGTGAAGAGAAATCAATGCCAGAAGGAAGCTTATATGATTGAAATGCTTTTAGTTTCGTTCCAAAGTGATGGTGATTGGCCAAGGATGATTTTTCTGAAGACTAAAAAAGGTTTTATCTTCGTTTTTCTCCCCTACATATATGACCAGCAGTAATCCAGATCTAATCTTTTTCCATCATTGCAGTTGGTCCCAAAGGCTGCCTGTTTCCCCAAAAATGCCTCATCTTTCTGTCTTTGAAATAAATGAAAGTCCACGGGGTGGTGGAATAAAGATGAGGGAAGGCTTTGACTCGATGCAGGATTGCCAAAGGGCCCAGACTTAAGAAGTCTGCACCCTCGTCTGCTACGCTGAGATACTGGGGCCGGAGTCAGGAACCAGATAATCTGATAGAATTTCAATCAACATTGATCAGATAAGAAATAACAGAATGTCTGACTTTACAATAACACCGAAAGCTTCAGCAGATTTTCTTTTCTTTTCTTTTTACTTTTACTTTTTTTTAGCAAAGAAACATTTAGTGGCAACCCGCGAATCTTGAAATTTTAGCTTCAGTAGCAATCCCATGCTTTCATTCCATTAGTGCTGACCTCTGACCTTAAGTGTACCCACACGATCCATGTCACACTCTGTGATGGGTTTACTCCTTTATTAGCTGGTGGCGGCGTTTATGGGGCATGTTGAGACTCAGTGGGGCTTTGATCCACCAACAGAAGCAGATAGGCAGGCGGTGGCGTTGTTTGCATCTTTGGCTGAAGTCTTGCGGTTTATAAAACATCTGCAAATCCTCTTGGATCAAAGGATGACTATTACACTGACAGGAATCTGACCCCCCCCCCCCCCCCCCCAGCTGCAGCTTTAAGGTGCTCGTGACCCCTTTCAACAGGCCCTGTTAAAAAAATACAGGTGGGATCCAGGTCACACGTTTGAACCCAAGGGCATACACACACTTGTTCTGGTTACTGTGAAGTGTAACAATTGTAAAAGATCAAGCATTGAGCTTAACTCTTTTTTTAATGTTCATCTGGGATTTTTCACTTGCTCCACTAAAGCTGAAGCAACAGGAGGAGGAAATCACGTTGAATTGTGTTGTTCAGTCGGTTCTGAATGCAGCTGGCTCAAGAAATCTCAGGCTCACCCTTCCCAACAAGCCTTCAGAGCAGGCTTTCAGCCAAGCTATAAATACAACAATGGTGTGCTCTGTATGCCCGTGTCTGAGTGACACCAACAAAATATATGTTGCTGTTTTTATTTTAGGTGTGCATGAATTTGGAGGAGATGCAGCTAACCGAAACTGCCAAAAGTTTCAGTTCAAAAGAATTTTGTATCAAATCATATTTATGTGAACTAAATACATACCTATAAGGGAAAATGTAACATGGTGCATATATGGGAACTGCTTCTCCCTTGTCACCAATCCATACTTATTTTATCCAAGGTCAGGTCCAGGAAGGAAGCCCGGACAGCCCTCTACCCATCAACACTCCTGGCTCTTCCTGGATAATCCCAAGGGATTCGAGATCAGAGAGGATATGTTGAGAATGGGTCTGGCCTGGGTCTCGTCCCAGAGAAACATGTCCAGAAACCCTCCAGAGGGAGGTGACCAGGAGGGATCCTATTCAGATGACTGAACCACCTCATTCTTAAAAAAAGTATTGGCTCCTTCTCAATACTACTCCTCACCTTATCTCAAAGTTCATTTCAGCCATTTCATCCAGGATTTTGTTCGTTTGGTCATGGACCAAATCTCATGGTCATAGGTGAGGGTTGGAATCTAGATGGACCGGCAAATCTCTCTCTCTCTCTCTCTGTCCTATTATTATTTGTAACAAGAACACAAAAAATTCTTCATCCTCCTTGAAAAAATAAAATCTCCCAATCCCAATGAATATAGAGCATTCTGTGTGAGCGTATGTGTGTGTGTGTGTGTGTGTGTGTGTGTGTGTGTGTGTGTGTGTGTGTGTGTTTGTGTGTGTGTGTGTGTTGCACAAAGCATTTAGCAGACTGTTGTCTAAGTCAGATGTTCTTGTTGTTTTGTTTTCTTTTTTTTTTTTTATTGAGGTTGTCTGCTAATGTAAAGTGAATTATCAGGTTTATGGCTCAGGCTTTAATGTAGCTCTTGTTATTCTGACTTATTGCAGTCATTGATGTATTCAGAGGTGAATTTAGAAGCAGTGAGACCATGATTCATCAGTAACAATCATCCTGAATAATTACCCATCGAGGTGCTCATTTAATATGGCGTTAAAGGTGAAGTCAACTGGATCCATCTTCCAGTTACTGACTGAATGTAATGGTTGGCCACTTTACTGTTTTTGGTGCCTTTTTTTTATTCTGTGGTTCTATTTATTGCCCTATCTTAACCATTGAACTCTAAGAATCAAATTAATGGAATGCCTCTGTGAGGAGCGGGTGGGGGTAGATTCTCCACAGACTTCCTTTGAACTGCCATGGCAAATTTACCCCTCAGTAAATCCCAACCTCCATCCACACATCTACTAGCGGCAGTTTCCATTTGCAGTAATTTAAAAATATGTGTAGAATTACCACGATGCAAATTTTTTTCTTTAATTTGTTCCAGAGCCACACTCATCTTTTCCCATTCCACTCCCCATCACTTCATCCATCACACACCAGAGTGGATCTCTGTTCATTTGCAGGCCATCACTCTTTCTCAGACCGGTTCTTCTCTGGGTGTGAGAGTGGAAACAAGTCTTTTTGTGTGGCGAGGGTACATGAACTTTTGTTTACAGCGCTAGGTTTCAGCTGGTTTGTATAGCCCAACGCTGCATGTCTGAGATGCTGTCGGTAACGCTGACCCTCCCTTGAGTGCCTAACAGGAATATTTATGAGGTTGTTTGTTTGGAGTCGCACTGGCCTTTTCTTTAACCGGCCAAAAGGATTACACTAATTGCATTCTCTGGACTTCACAAATCTATGCTTGCTATTTTCCTACCCATTACTGTCTTGTCAAGCACCTCGTTCTGCAAACAGGGACGGTTCCCTGTTGTATTGCACAATATAATATAGATAAGTGTAGATACAATACTCCAGATACGGAAAGTAAATTGTAAATAACTAAATGATTTTCTAAAATTTCAAGGTGTGCAATTTAGTGCTAAATAATCTTCTATCCCTTTTTGATTAATTTGCATAAAACTATACTTTTGACATTTTTCAAAAGCTCATAATAGTCTCCTGTGACGTAATTATTCTACTTTGTTGTTACAAAAAGACACAAACTCTAGTGATGAGGGAGAAAATTTAGAAAAAATAGATTTTTGTAGCTTTTTAAATACAATTAAGTAATTAAATGTCTTCATGTGGTATTTCCTTTTTAAGTAACCTCAAGTAAATAGAGGGAACATTGATTTTGTAATAAAAAGGCTCCAGTTTCACCCCACACCATAAAAGCATAAGCTACCTCACACCCTGGTGAGCCACCTAATTGCCCTTGTCCACATAAAAGGCCTAATGTACACTCCCTGTGCTCACACATATAAAAGTTATAGGAATCAAATGGAGCATAAATAATACAATTGATTGTGATCAGGCAGTATGAATAACACGATAACCGAGTCTCCCTAAGTGCTACTAAGAGGGATGCACCACAGTCCACACATCCTTAAGGGGTGTTATTTATTGTGCTTTTAATGAAGCTTGATTGGCAGCGAGTCCTGGTGCCCATTATCATCAGAGGGATGTGCTCACCCTAATATGCAATTATCAGCATAATTGCGCTGAGAATCCTCCAAACCCAAATAAGCAATCACTTGTACCGCTCGTGAGCCACCTGTGAGAGTCGTGCAGGAAGACGCACACCCTGACAGAGTCACATGCTGTCGTACCGAGGGTCAAGGTTAAATATCTTCCACTTGTTCCTTATTTGATGTGGCTGTGCTTTCCTGCTCTAGTCTTGATTCATCTCAGCCTAATTCCTTTATTTTTTCTTCAATCCATCCATTCCTTCTTCCTCCATTTTCGAGCTCCCGTCCCATTCCAACAGAAATTCTCGGTGGTCACTTTCATCCCTGAGGTATGCACAAGTACAGTGTGATTATTAAGCCGGTTGTCTCATCATAATTATGCGTTTTGTCATGTGCTGCCTCTGTAGTTTGTGATAAAAAGGAAAGCCTGATTAAGCCGAGGGAGCGCCATTGATTCCTATTGACAGGCCTTTCAAAGGCCTTTAATGAAGGAGATGTAAATGAGGGTTTTCCACGGTGTTTAATGACTGTGGACCATATAAGGCCAACAGCATTGTAAAAGAGATGTGCATCACTCACAAAAGCACACTGGGGACACTTTCAGTTTCAGGGATGTTTGGGGGTAAAGGCAGAGAGGAGGAGGGGTGGGAAGTAAAAGCACACTGAGGGTTTAATAGATATGCAATAAGGAATCATGACCCAAAAATAGTTTAGAAGGGTATCAGTGAGGCCAGGTGAGTGGTTTAAATATACAAAACACTCGTAATAGCATGCTGTTAGACTAATGCTGAAGGTGCTACCTCTGACTGAGGGCTCAGTGAATTATTGCATCCAAATAATCTTCTATAACATTCTTTGGATTTAAAAAAAAGCCTCACTGTCTTTTCTTTTCTCTCTTTCTTGTTTCTCTCACAGCAATCAAATGGCTCCCAGTAATCATGACCGGATACAGAGGCTGAGGAGTGAGTTCCAGCAGGCCAGACAGGATGATGACCTTGAGGACCATCAACACTCTTTTAGCTTTGACCAGTCCTGGGTGAGTGTCTCTTTAGCCCGTCTACCTGGGCCAGCAGCCACAGCCACTGAAACTATTCTCATACCACTCTCATCTATTGGTTCTAAATGCATGTCTCACGAGGCTGTGACTAATGGTAATCAGTTGGAGACACAAAATTGGTACTCAAATTTTATTCATGGCCGATCATGTGAGACATTAGCCTAGAAATCTGGACTAACCATAGCAGTAGCAAAGATGCTGCTCCACTGGTCGGTTTAGACACTTCATTGTAGCCTCACTAGGTCTTCGACTGGACTGAGCAGTTTTAGGTTCGGCCAATCACAGTTGTCTACATATGTAAAGGGATGTTGGGTGGGCTTAGCACCATAGCTGTTATGGATATGGCATTAACTTCGAACGATTTAGACTTTTCCTTGAGACGTGAGGAGATAGATGTACTTAAGTCCTTTATTTAGAAAAAAAAATGTGTTTGCTTCTTCTTCATCTCTGGTGTATGGCTGACTGCCCCATTGACTGATATCCATTGCAACAAATATGTCACGGTATTCATTGCTCTTATTGGTCCTTGCGTTTTCCAATTGCGTGCAGAGACAGTTTGACAGACAACCCCAACTAAGCTCTGTCTATGGGTTGTTGCCAGACTGAGGCCCAATCTCAATACTTGCACTGTGGTCTTCAGCAAAGTGCACTAAGAGAAAGTGCACTGTAAGGCTTCGAGTACTTAGTACACAGGTGTGCGAATAATTGCCAAATTGAGTCGGGGAGCGTTGCGTCATCGACCGCAAAGCATGCCAGGGAAAAAACATTTAGTAACAACTTTCAAAAAACCAAACAATTATTTGAAATAAATTTACAATCATTGCCACTTTGTCTAAAACATTCAGAGCATCAACTAATTGTCCTAAAATTAACTACTTTCATTAGAAAATTCATATTTTCTAATTTCGCAGTCTCCCTGGGGTCCCTGTGGAGCTCCCTCCATCTCCTACACATCTTTGGGGGCAGATCTGTGGCCCCTCACACTCTCTATTGGACGCTCCAATAGAGAAACCTTACATAAACAAGCGCGTGTACACACACAGGTGCTCACATGGTGCTCTCATAAGTATGGACTTGGGCACGTTCAACACATGTCTTAAGGCTGTGGTTGGCACTTAATGCACTGTGATTTATTATTGTGATTGTTCAGTAAAATAATGTTGATTTTATATTTCCTCATCAAGTTGACGCAGTGATAGCTTGATCTTGTTGTGTTGTTGTGTGTCCCATTTCTGCAGGTCTAGAGCAGACTCTTGTTCATCATTGATTGTTTATTTTTGAGGACACCCCCACCCACCTTGTCTCTTCCTTTCTCTTTCACCTCTGACTCCGTGTCTGGTCGGAATTACAAAGTATTCAAAAACAATAACAATAAAGTTTTAAGTATCAGGCATGACTTAAAAGCAGACGCTTTGATGCTCCACCTGAGAGTACATCTGTAAGGCTTGTCACCAGCATTCAGACATTAATTCTGTTTGCTTCACAGCCAGACAGGACATGGGGGGAAAAAAAAGAAAGAAAATATATATTTTCAGCAAAAAAGAACATGAGCCGTTTCTCCCGTAGCAATGGATTGTGGATAATACACTTCACTTGGGTGAAGTGCGGATTAAGGGTGCAACAGGGGCGTGATCAACTTCCGCACCTGAGAATTGGGACACGCTACGCCTTCGCACCTCTGGTCAGGACTGTGCATTTGAAGGGCACAAATGTGGAAGTGCAAGTATTGAGATTGGGCCTATATATTTACAGATATAGGATGGCTGCCCATTTTTAATACATAGTTATTTTGCAGTAAATTGTATTCATAATGATTAATGATACAAAATAACTACTAACCTAACCCCTGCTGAAGCTATTTAGTAAAGCAAATCTGCAGACTCCAATCAAGAGGTGTCATAAATGTCTGTGGTCTGGGATTAATGGTGAGATGTATTAATATTTAAAATAATTAGTTTGAAACAAAGCACACAAGCATGTTCCAGGGATCTGATGACGATCTCCAATTCGCCAATCTTTACGTTCGTCCTGACTGACAGATTCCAGCTCTCCATGCCCCTGTGTGAGTCTTCTCTTTCCCTAAGATGTGACACCTTGTGATGAGATTTAAAAAAGAAATACTTGATGCTGTGGGATTCTTCAGGGCTGATGACAGTGGGCCACAGTGATTATTTCCATTAGACCTGAATAAAGGGTTTTTTTAAATAATAAAATGTCCAAATTAAATTTTGAAAGGGATTTCTTTAAGCTGATCACCAGTTCCATGATTGATCTGCGACAACAATCGGATTTGTTCCTTATAGTGGGGAAAAGGTAATCGAGTTAATTCCTTCATGACTTCATTCCGGCTTGTTTTTGAGTTCCGATGTGTGATCAAAGTTCAGCTGTGACTACAGTTTGAGCAAAAGGAGATCGGGTTTTCAGATGGATGCACCTTTTTTTCTTTCTGTCTAAAACAACAACATCTACTTGGCGTAGCACCAAGCTCAGCTATTATCTAAATAGCAGGTCAGAATGTCAGACCTTCAAAGTTAACATATCTGGCATCTAATTTTCTGGAGAACCATCAGTGTCGGTTTGTCAGGTAAATTGGTTTGGTGTGGTCTGATGTTTGATTTCTCTGCTGTCTGAATGAGTTTAGGTAAAATGGCAGCAACTGGCATACATCCCACAGCACTGCTGTATGGAAGAAGACAGAGTTTATTAGATTTGGGTTTATTTTAGTGTTCATCTAAAAAGTCACTGAGCAGACATTGGCCAAAAGTCACTGAGCAGACATTGGCCAATGTTTTCCTGCTCTCGTCCCATTTTTGTTACGTGTTTGTTCGGCTCTAAGCAGCCAAAGTCTTTCTCTTTCAGCATCTGAGCTCCTAATTGCTTGTGACAGTTGACATTGTGGGGCGTCGTGCTAGCAGTAATAAGATACAGAAAAAGTGTGTTGAAGTACATAATATTAGTCATCTTTAATTGTATTTCTGTTTTGGAAACAGGATTACAATCGCAGCGCTTCCAAGAAAAAGATTTGAGCATTAAACAGAAAAGGGCAAACCTTAGGAGAAGTTGAATTAGTGAGTTGCAGCGCAGCTGGAGATGCTACAACTAGAAACTAGAAACTAGAAAAATGAAACATTTAAAAAGCCAACATGATGTAAGCTTGTTGCCAATAAATTTTTATTTTCAGCTACATCATATTTAGGCCCCACCCACACAAATCCAGTTATCCTAAAAACTGTTTAGTTTTGTTTTATTTGTGTCTTAATGAATGACACAATGTTAAATAGGTTTGTAAGGACATTCTTAATTAGTAGTCCAGAATAGTGGTAGTAGTGATATAGGACATAATTGTATTTTTCAGCCTAAATTAGAGTTTTGGATGACAAACCATATTTTTGATATGCAGATGTAGAAAGATTGCTTTTTTTAATAGTCCAGCAGCAAGCACAAAACCTAAAATCTGTTTCGATTGGAGATGTCTGATATTATCGATCTACCAGTAATATCAGCTGATTTTGGCTTTGAAATTTAGTATCGGAAAATACCGGCTGTCAGCCTTTCAATGACACAACCTTTACATACCATACACATGTTAAACATCAAACTCTTCAGCCACTTGTCCTCCCTTTCATAATGTCAAATATGACAGAACTGAGGTTAAGTATTTGAGATATTTTAATTTATTTGTCACAACTTGGGAAGTAGAAATTTACCGTGTAGTGAGCGTACCCTGTGCTTAGCCTGTAGCTATGTAGCTAACAGCTAACTGCTGATTAAAATAAAAACAAGATTCTTCACCCAAGGCTTGTTTTCCTTATCTGGAGATCTTTATATATGTTTTATCACCGTGGCTGCAATATACAGGGGGAAAAAAACACTCATTACTATCTAATGAACACAGCATCCCGCTGAGATGCAGCGTCTGTTGGAGACAAAATGAAATGATGCTTTTCCTATTACTAGCTTAAATTAAAGTAGTTAAAAAATTATTTAAAAATTATTTAAACTTTCAGCATGCATGGTGAGAAAAATGTGATGTTAGTAAGCTAAAAATGTTTAGTTTAGTTCACTGCACATATCTGAAGTGGTTTATACCAGTACAATATTGGTACATCAGTAAAAAAAATAAAATTATATTGCGCATCTCTAGTCATTTCTAAAAAATATAGCTTTCACTCATACCCTCGATTTTATTATTTTGACAGTTTTTTTTTTTTGCACCTAGATGGAATAGTGTAATTGAAATTGCACATGTTAAAAAGTTATAATTAGATTAAAAAGAAGGCAGATGGCAGAGGGGACGCCTCCTGGTAGCATGTCGGTAGGGTGTGGCACCGCCTCAGGCCTGGATACAAGCGGCAGTTCATTGCAGAACAGTCATACAGCTGTTGTGTCCTGTTCCGTGGTAAATTATCACAGCTGTTGTTGCTGGCCCTCAAGGAAAACATTAGCACTGGGTTGGAGTTGATGTCTGAACTGATTCCACTGATGTTTCAGTGAGAAAAGACGAAGGAAGCAGGCATAGACACAAGTGCAATGTGGTTTTTGGCTTGTTAACCCTTCGGACCCGAGCAAGTGTAACAGCAAAAAGCCTAAGGCCCAAAGTTAAAGACCATACTGGAATGCTTCTTCATGAGGAGTCACACAGAGACAGAGGTGACCTGAGACCCTACTCCTTGGCTTCCTATACCATTGACAGAACTGATCCTATCCTCTTCCCATGCTGTGTGCACAAACAATGGTCATCTTTGGTAAATCAGTACTGACATTGGTTTCTGGCCATGTGGCAGCTGAACGTGTCATCAGTCCATTGTAGATTAACTCATTTCTGCCCTGAAGCTACGAGCAGTTTGCACATGGGATGGTGAACCTGTTGTCTAGGGCTGCAACGATTCGTCAACGTTGTCGACAAATATCAACAATAGAACTAGTTGACAATGACTTTCACTGTCGACATTGTCGCTAGACGTGTTTTTTCCGACCGA